AGGTCCCAGTTTGCCACAGCACAGAGGAGAGCAGGAAACAGTACCCAGGCCAGGAAACACATCAGGAGAGCACCTCACCTCTCATATCTGAGCCCCACCACCCAACGTGGGCTGCTGAACACCATCCCCAGGACATTGTTGCCCTCTGGGGGGTGTCAGGTCCCACAGCACAGCCTGACACAGGTCACAGGGCTCACATAAGGGTACTGGGAGAGGTCCAGGGCAGGATCCCTGGCTCCAGAGAGCCTTTCCCCAACACATCCCACACAAGTCACTTCCAGGGAGGCCTCTTACCTTGGTAGAACTGGGTGTTTCCCAGGAAGAGGGTGCTGTTGAGGATGGCCAAGACCCAGCAGAGGGGCAGCAGGTAAAGGACACAGACAGAGCCCAGCAATGCCCCATAAAACCTAGGAGGGAGCAGCAGGACACAGCAATCAAGACAGAGCAACTCAGGCTACAAGCACAAGCCCATTCCTTTGCCTGGTCTTCCACCTGCTCTCTCCGAGTATTAAACACATGAAACCCAGCTCCGCATACTGGCCCCTCTCCCTGCTGAGCCCACCGCAGGATACCCGACCCGGTACTACTCACTGGGAAGAGACAGTGGGGTTCTCCCAGTACAATACACGGTACACTGCTTCGCAGCTGCAGCACATCCTGTTCAGGAACCCCTCCAGCTGGATAAGGCTGTGAATGAGACCTCACAGTCACAAAAAGGCCCCACAAACACACACCCTGGGTCCCCCCCCCACTCCTACGTTTTACAGCAGCCAGGCTGTCACAAACCCAGGCCCTCCACAGCCACAGAGAAGCCCTCCCGGCTGCAGAAGCCCCAGGAGCCTCACAACCAGGAGGGCTGCAGAAACTCACAAGCTCTTGACCTGGGTGATGGCCTCCTGCCGCGAGAGCTGTACCCTGCGCAGGTCCTCCCGCCGGACACTGTGGTACCTCCTGCGCACCAGCTCCTGCTCTGAGGGCCGGGCACGGCACGTCTCCTGCAGATAGCCCAGCAGGGCTGGCACCACGACCAACAGGGCCAGCACCGAGTACCAGGCGGCTGGAAGAAGAGGGACAGCGTCAGCCCGGGGGGTCCGGGGACGGGACTGGCCCTGTCCCCCCTTCCCCTACACGCACCTTGGCCGAGGGTGAGCAGGAGGAAGTTGAGGCTGAGGCAGACGAGGAGGGAGCACACGGGCCGCTGCCACCTGCGGAGGGGAGGGAGGGGGAGGGAC